TCTCCCTCGCCAACACCACCCTCACCGGCGCCATCTCCGCCATCAATCTCACCACCACGTGCGTGCGTTTGCGTTTGCGTGTGTGTGTGTGTGTGTGTGTGTGAGAGAGAGAGAGAGAGAGAGAGAGAGAGAGAGAGAGAGAGAGAGAGAGAGAGTGTGTGTGTGTGTGTGTGTGTGTTGTGTGTGTGTGTGTGTGTGTGTGTGTGTGTTTGTGAGGGAGTGAGGTTTTGCTGAAGGGAGTGCTTTGTTGAGTGTCCATCTCCTTGTTCGAGTGAAAGGCTGTTTCCCCTTTGCTTGTCTCTTTCACCGCCTCACCTGCCCTCCTTCCCCCTTCTTCTTCTTCTTCTTCTTTTTCTTTCTCTCGTCCTCAGGCTCAAGTGGTCGATTGTGCCCGTCGCAAACATCAGTGCGTTGAACCCAATCATCGCCAAGCTGCTGGATGCGGTGGTGATTCCCGCGCTCAACAGCGCCATGGCCAAAGGCCTGCCGCTGCCCACTGTCGCTGGTCTGCAGTTTGCCAACACAGACGTCGTCTACGAACAAGGCGGCTACATCGCCCTGCACGCTGCGTTCCACCCTGTTTCAACGCCACAACAGAGACAGGTGGATGGTGATGGTGACGGGGTGTGAGCGAGAGCGAGGAGGAGAGAGGTCAAGGTGGGAAGGAAGGACTTGTTGTTGGCGTTTCTGCAATGTTATCAAATAAATTTCCGCAATGCTGATGACTGCGCGCAATCAACAACAGTGTTGGTGGTTGCTGTTTGGTGGCGTGTGTGCAGTGTGGTTTGGTTTGTTGTGCGTCCAGCATCAACAACGACATCAACATCATCACAACAACAGCAGCAACAGCGGCATGGCGGAGTTCTATGTTCCCACAGTGTTTGCTCGGCTGCAGAGCAGCTTCCAGGCCGCAACAAGGTGCATGGTGTGATGGTGTTCGTACGTGGTTGTGGTTTCGGGAGGACGGAGAGGTGCACACCGACACCGCACTTGCCGTGCAATTATCTGCACGCACACCAGTGCACGCACACAGTGCACACACAGACACTCACTTTGTTTGCTTGTTCTGGTATGATGCGGCAGGCCAGCTCTTTGGTTTTCTCCCATGGCTCACCTTCACAGCAGGAGAAAGGAGTGAGTAGCCTCTCTGCAGAACCTGCATGTGTGCGAGTGTGTGTCCATGTGTGCATGTGTCGTGCGCTTTCATTCAAGTTTTTTCGTCCTTGCACGCACGGTGGGGCGACTGCACAGGTGGGTGATTGAGCACGTGTCCATGGATGAAGCAAAGAACAGGCTCCTTTCTGCTGCCGTGGCAAACGCCAAGGAGTTCCAGCTCGCAGAACCCTTGGTGCGTGCACATTTGTTTGGGTTTACGTCCTGTAGCCAAATGAAAAATGGTGGCAATGGTCAAGATGAGTGGCTCATACCCGCGACTGCTCCTGCTGCAGATGAAGGGCGACACGATCCAAGTTCTGTCATACACAAAGGCAGAATGGCTGGACGTGATGGAATTCGAGCTTGAACAAGCAAATGAGCATGTCCGCATCAAGGTACACGTGTGTGCGTGCTTTTGTGCGTGTGTGCGTGCGTGTATGCTTGCGTGTGCTTGTATGCTTGCGTGTGCTTGTGTGCTTGCGTGCGTGCTTTTGTGTGTGTGTGCTCGCGTGCGTGCTTTTGTGTGTGCTTTTGTGTGTGTGTGTGTGTATGTGTGTGTGTGCTTGCGTGCGTGCTTTTGTGTGTTTGCGTGTGTAGGTGTAGGTGTGTAAGGTCAGGTAAAGCCTCCTGCTGTCGGACGCCTTGCAAGTTGAATCATTCTCCAGCGTCTCACAACCTTCACAAAACCCAACACCCCCACATGAGCAGAGTCATAGCTTCTCGTCCGGTCTGGTCCCCGTGTCTGTTCCCGGAGCACCACTCCTTAACATGGTGCGTATGTGTGCTCGTCTGTGTACCGCGCACGTATGATGTGTTCTGACGTCCGTTTTCGTTCTCCCCTCCCGCCACCTCCTTATCCCTTTCTCCCTTGCTCTCACGAGCTTGTCCCCCCACGCATTCTAACGCGCACCCGTTGCCCCGTCACTACCATGCGTATCCATCGCGTGGTGTGCAGGCGACGTTCTTCGTGCCGTTTCTCGATCACGGTCTCAACGGCAAGCGCCTCAAGGCCTTCATGCAGCACACGACACACGGCGCAGCAGAGACCCAGAAGTGATCGACATGTGTGTGTGTGTGTGTGTGTGTGTGTGTGTGTGTGTGTGTGTGGTGCGTATTTGCTTGCGTACATGTGGCGTGGTGGCGAGATGATTGCGTATCATCGCTCGATCTCTGTCTCTGACTCTTGTCTGTCCTTCATGTATTGGGACCGGTGTGAATAAACAATGTCATAACCAACAGCGTATGCGTGTCACATCACCGCTCTTGTGAACTGATCAACGCGCACACGCGACATCAGAAGACAAAAGGCAGCATATTCCTAACAGCCGCAGCAGCGTGGCTTCAGTCGTGTCTCCACAGTTGCAACGGCGCGCTGAAATGCCCTCACATTCGCTTCCGTCGCCGTCATATTGGTCAGCGTGTCCGCCGGCTGTGTACGCAGGGGGTAGTGAGAGGGCGAGTTTGTTTGAGTGGGTTATGGATAGGTGAGAAGACACACACACACACACACACACACACACACACACACACACACACACACACACACACACACACACACACACACACACACGTGTGTGCACACACACACACACACACGTGTGCACACACACACACACACACACACGTGCACACACACACACACACACAGTTGCTGTGAGCGCGTGGCAGCACCGTCCATCTCACCGGATTCGGGTTCCAGCCGGCGTGCATGAGATCCGGTCCAAAGAGCATGCGAACACGCGGCAGCCTTCAAGTCAACAGGTCGTGGTGGGTGGTGGTGGTGAGCATGAACGAGGTTGAGCAGTGGGCGAGCCAAGTTGCATGGCACGTTGTTGCGCTGTCGATATGGCATGCGAAGACGAGCAGTAACACCAGCACTTAACAGACAGACAGACACACAGACAGACAGACAGACACAGACACAGACACACACACAGACACACACACACACACACACAGACTGACACACACAGACACACACAGAGACACAGACAGACAGACAGACAGACACACACACACACGCACATAAACACTTACACACGCACACACACAGCATGGCGTTGTCTTACATGCGCCACGTGCATCCATTCTCGCCAAGTGATTGCGTCAGTCCGCAGGAGCCCATGCGGGGTGTGCTGCAGACACGAAGCAAGTGGCATGATGGCATGAGGCGTGGCGGTGGTGAAGTAAGTGTGTAAGTGTGTAAGTGTGTATGTGCGTGTGTGTGTATGTGTGGTGCTGCGGTTGAGATACGACGCGTGTTATTGCGAAGACGTATTGCAGCAAGCACAAAACGTGGAGCACAGGGTCATGCACACACACACACACACACACACACACACACACACACACACACACACACACAGGCACAGGCACAGACACACACACACACACACAGGCACAGGCACAGGCACAGGCACAGGCACAGGCACAGGCACAGGCACATGTACCTGAAGTTGTCACCGCAGTTGACGGAGACCGGATATGACGACGGCGGTGCTTTGTCGAGCCAGAATCCGTAGGGGAGCAGCACAGGCGAGATGCCGACATACCTGCGCAGCACCATGTGAAGTGCAAGGCGGTAATCAATGGGTGACGGGGCGTGCACTGTGCTGGGAGGGTACGCACACGCACACACACACACGCACACGCACAGACATACACACACACACACACAGACAAACACACACATACACACACGCATACACACATACACACAAACAAACACACACATGTGTACATTCACCGACATGTGCACACCTTGCGGAAGGATTGTCTGGGAGAATGAGCTGTCCATTTGGACCGCAGTTGCACGTCGTTTCGTTGACATATGGTTCGCGGTGGTTGAAATCGCAGTGGCGGTGCAGCTCTGATGCGTTTTGCTGACTGATCACACGGTCGTCGTACACCTGACACGCGGTGTGGTGTGGATGAACAGGAGAAAGAGAGTGTGGTGATGAATGAGTGCGTGACTTGAACACACGCACACACACACACACACACACACACACACACACACACACACACTCTCTCTCTCTCTCTCTCTCTCTCTCTCTCTCTCTCCCTCACGCACGCACTCACTCACTCACTCACTCACTCACTCACACAGAGTGATCTTTAACAAAGTTACCACGGTGCCAACAACATGCGCAATCGAAGGACATGCAACCACGTGCCACACTTCCCAACCAACCCAGCAGATGCACGTGGGGTCGATGGGTTTATTGCCGAGATAGTCCGTCTCATCGCTGTTGCAGCTCAGGTACTGCGCATAACTGCAGTTCGTGATGGTGGTGGTGGTGATGGTGGTGATGGTGTCACACAACACATCAGTTGCCAAGGCGAGAAAGGGCAAGCGCTCGCAGAGTGAAGTCCATTCACTTCAACCCCCCCCCCACACACACATGCACACACACGCACACATGCGCACACATGCACACGCACACACACATACACAACACAACGCAACGCACCCTCGATCGAAGCCGCCGCCCGGGACGGGTTGAGACTCAACGCAGTACTGCGCAATGGTGGAGTTCATGACGAGAGATTCGGGCCAGCCAATGCCACAGAAGAAGTGGACCGCAAATCCTTCAAACGGATCATCGCGTGACGTGAAGTTGCCCCCGCACACACGCGCAATGTCATCGTGGTAGTTGGTTGCACACGCCATGCAGTCGAAGGCGCGACCTCGCACGTGGCCGCACACACGCGACAGCGTCGACTGATGATGGGAAGGGAGACAGCCGGTGGCAGTTGCGTGTTTGCGTTGGTGAGGGTGTACATGCTTGCGCGGGCGTGTGTTTGGCGGAGTCACACGAAAGGGCAGCACGCACTTTAGAAGGACTTACGCTCGCAAACCGAGACACCCCCGCCCACGTGTATGCACACACACACACACATATGCACACACGCACACACACACACACATATGCACACACGCACACACACACACACACACACACACTCACTCACTCTCTCTCTCTATCTCTCTCTCTCTCTCTCTCTCTCTCTCTCTCTTACGCGCACACACATATGCAGAGACAGCTACACACACACCCGACCTGGCACATGTCCCAGTCGTGTGCTGTCGAGTTTGGCCAGAAGGTGGAGGTGTTGAGGGGCGTGCCGTGCGAGAGATACGCTGCGAGTGCATCGGGAGTGGCGGAGTTGTGGTTCTCGAGGAAGTCGAGATCTAGTGTGTATTCGCTGATGCGAAACAGCTCGTCAAAGCGCGTTTGCTTCGACGCTGCCAAGATGGGGGTGGGGAGGGCATCCGTAGTGTGTGGAAGTGCGTGAGTGTACGTGTGTGCATGTATGCGTGTGGAATTGTGCGTTGGTGTATTGGTGTACGTATGTACATGTGTGTGTGTGTGTTTGTTTGATCCTATGTGTGTATGTCGTCGCAACGACGGAAGGAGAGAAGAGAGACATGTGTGATACGGTGAATCGAATGGCCGGAACAGGGGTGCACCCCCTCCCCTCTTTCAAGCACCGCACCTTGGGTGAACATGACGTCAACAGCAATGACGGTTGGTGATGGCGGACCGTGACTAACGGCTACGACCATGTACGCTGTGGACGGGTTCAGTTGCGTGATTGTCGCCTCACACGTGGCCTCGGTGTGGTGAAGGTGTTTAGGAGAGACGCACGCATGTGTAGCTGACGCCGAATCTTTTGCGGGTGCACCTGACTGAAGCTCCCAACACGCGGCCTGTTTGCAGTGGCGCAGCCAATTCACAAGCAAGCCGTGAGTGCACAGGTGCACCATCGCACTCGCGAAACGGTAGCGCAGACGCATGCAGCACGGAAGTGGTTCCAACTCCAACACACACACACATACACACACATACTCTCTCTCTCTCTCAGGCACAGGAATGCAAGCACGCACACGCACACACACACACACACACACACACACACACACACACACACACACACACACACACACGCACACCCATGTCACTCACGACAGGTTGGCCGACGCATGTTGCGCTGACGCGGAAGAACGTGTGGTGCGACCAATTTACTGCATCGCCCAGCGACAAGGTCCTGATTTCCACTGACTGCGACGCTGCTGCTGTTGTCACGTTTGCCCGTGCAAAAGGCGGCATCGACAGTGAAATCTTGAAGGAAGATGGATGTGGTCCGGTTGTTCGTTTCAGCTGTGCTTCAGCTTGGTGAGTGGAGGCTGTGGCACACGTGATGGTTTCATTCAGGGCCTCCCATCCCCAAACAAACGACGGTAGCGCGGCGCGGTGATAATACAGAGTCAGCTCATAGGTCGTCGCTGGCATCAAGTCCAGGACAACCACGGACGTGTTGGTTGTTGGCACAGCATAGTACGGCCGACCAGAGAGTGTGTTTGGCTCGCCAACAGCAACGTAGAAGGCATCAAATTCACCAGCAGCAGGCGTGTCCCACGACACGAGCAGGCTCGACGACGACGCTGATTCGACCGCCACTGTGCCCTTGCCAGCACGGCCGTCACACTGCACGTTGCTAGGCACAGCACCCTTTGGCACGCGCTTGCTGGCGGTTGCTCGTGTTGCAACAGTGAACCTGCTTCCACTGCACGCCACCACAGCCACAGCCACCAACAAGAACAACACCAACACAACGCTCGTCATCATGGTTGCTGTCCTTCTTCGTGGTCGACGAATACCTGAAGTCATTCACAAATCCTCTACAACCCCGATCTCTCCAAGACGACGACGATGAGGTTTGTGTTATGTGCTTTGCTGTGCTGTGCTGTGCTTGCTATGGTAGTCATGCTGTGTGTGTGTGTGTGTGTGTGTGCGTGTGCATGTGCGCGCGTGTCATTCTGTGTGTGTGTGTGTGTGGTTGTCATTCTCTCTCTCTCTCTCTCTGTACTTGAACACCCTTTTGGCCGCCTCACACTGCTTGCGCGTGGGACATTGCCGTGTGCAGGTTTGCAGTTGTTGTTGTGGCTGTTGTGCTGCTTGCTGGCACAACAATTGCAGAGGATGAAAACTTGACCATCTCCCTCTTCCAAGACTCGGAGTACGTTGTGCACATGTGTGTGTGTGTGTGTGTGTGTGTGTGTGTGTGTGTGTGTGTGTGTGTGTGTGTGTGGAACTGCCTGTTGCTCGTCTTTGGTGCCATTCTTTGCCGGAACACACACACACACAATCACATACACACACTCTCTCTCTCGCTCGCACTCACACAATCACATGCACACATACACACACAACTCCTCCCACCGAGCAGCACGTGTCGTATGGAGACAATCAACTCGTTGGCCATGGTGGTGCAGGTGGAAAAGCTCGATGGACGTTGTCACCAACTCCCAGAGCTCACCATCTTCTCAGATCCAAAGCCTTCTTACTACAAGCTGACCTACGATGGTAAGCTCGAGGGAGTGGGTGTGCCTGTGCAGCGACGACACCGAGTTCGTTGGTTTGCTTGTCACTGCTGTTTTGCTTCGGGAGCAGGGTTTGCTCGTCCCACAAGTCGGGTGTCCCCCCCCCCGTACAGTGGTGTGATGATGCTTTTGCATAATTGAGCACAAACCTGCGCTCACGCCATGGCTTGTTGTGCCATGCGTTTGTTTACTCCATCAACAGCAACAAAGGACAAAGTCACGGGCAGCCTGTTCTGCAAGGACGACACCTGTACCAAGTGCGTGTACTCACTTCTGGGCATTTGGGGGTGGGCGGGGGGCGATGATTGGGGTTCATTCTGCAACCCAGATGACTGCAAGCGCGCCGACAGACGGACAGGCGAGCAGGCCGAAACCCATCCACACACACACACTACACACTACACGCTGTGCTCATCACGACCATCTACCACACAACGTGTTTCCAACCACGCCCTCACAGTTGTGGCGCCGAGCTGAAACGCAAGCTGACCACAGAGTGTTTCGAGGTGGCGGACACTTTTGGGCAGACCGACACGGGCTCCTACCTCTTCAGCGCCTCTGTGCAGCGCAGTGAGGGCGCGTGCATTGGACCCGGCGATATTCCACGCCCGTCCCTTCCAGAACTGCTCATGTTCCAGTACTTTGGCAGCAACGCCTGCACGCTTGGCGGCAACGCAACAGCCACCATCCAGGTGTGCACGTGTGTGCTTTGCCTGTGCACGTGTGTGCGCGTGTGTGTGTGTACGTGTGTGTGTCTGTGTGTGTTGTACGCCTGTGTTGCGTCTCTCATGTCACAGTTGTGTCATTGTATTTGCAATCGTGCTGACATTCATGCTGCACCACCCATTCACTCTGTTGTTGTCAGAATTTGGGTCGCGCCGACAGCACATGCCGCAAGGTACATCGAGAGACCGGAGCGCCTGTGTGTGTATGTGTGTGTGCATGTGTGTGTGCATGTGTGTGCATGTGTGTGCATGTGTGTGTCTGACTTGCTCACTCACTCACATACGCACACACATGTACACATGCACACACAATCACGACCACATGAGCGCAGCCGGCCGTGAGCACGCTGTACCAGAAGGTCGAGGCGGTGAAGGAAGGCATTAACCTGTACCTGGACTGTCACGATGTACGCATGTCGCCGATGTCGGTGCATTGTTGGCTGTACACGTGGCGTGCTTGAAGGTGACCTGCGCGTTGGTGCATTGCTTGCTGGTGTCGCCTCGCATGTCAAGTGTCATCGATTCAAAATCATACATTCATCTCCACACACACACACATACACACATTCACACACATACACTCATTACACATTCACACACACACAATCACACGCACACAATCACACGCACATTCACCTTCACACGTGTGTCAGAGCGCGTGCCACAACTGCGGGTCGCGGATTCAAATTGCGCAGACGGACGAGTGCAATCCACTGCACGACGCAACATATGTCCTCAACTTCCAAGAAAACCTGCAGGTCCGAGCGGTGTTGGTGGTCGTGGTGGTGTTTGGTGTTTGTGGCGGTGCTGGTGGTGGTGTTCATGCTGGTGTTGGTGCTGGTGTTTGTGGTGCTTGTGTTGTGCTGGTGTGTTTGGTGTTTGTGGCGGTGCTGGTGGTGGTGTTCATGCTGGTGTTGGTGCTGGTGTTTGTGGTGCTTGTGTTGTGTTGGTGTGCTTGGTGTTGATCATGAGCGAGTTTGATTTGTTGAAAGGTGTGATGGACGATGGCAGGGAGAACCAAGACGAGACAACACGAGCAAGAAGGGCATTGGTTGTCGTACTCAATGACATGTCCCCTGCCCATGTATGGTTTTTGTGAACAGGGTTGTGCGACCTATCCACGGCACAACATCAGCAGCGAGACAGGTGTGTGTGTGTGTGTGTGCTCGTGTGTGTGTGTGTGTGTGTCGTGTTTGTGTCGCAGTACACTGTGTTCAGATGCCTCGCTCGTCTCGTGTGCACCAGTTCCACACATCTCACATCAACACTGAATCTCATTCGCCCCCTCCCTCCCTTGACGTTGCGGGATGACCGTGTGCCAGGTGCCATTGCCGGGGGCATCATTGGGGCGCTGTTTGTTGTTCTCATTGTGTTCCTGTACGTCTCGCGTCTTCGCTCCAAGGACCGCAGCACCTACAACCGCATCTAAACACACACGCACGTGCACACATGTTGGCGTAAGGCCACACACACACACACACACACACACACACACACACACACACACACACACACACACACAGAGAGTGCAAGGCAATATGTGGCTGATTATTCTGCGTCGACTTATGTGAATTATTAAGATCTGCACCCGTGCTGCCGCCGCTAGCGGGGTGCCGATGTGCTGTCGTGTGTACATGATTTTTGGACACTATACCTTTTATTTTTTTATTGACGTACGACGGTACGATATGCAGGTTCGCAATTTTTTTTTTTTTTTTCTTTTTTTTTTTTT